CAATAGACCAATAGATATGCATAAAAAGTGTTTTTTACAAATTGTAACTTCACATTTGGTAACACGCCATATACCTACCAAACAATACTGATAAATTAACATTTGTTTATAATGTAAGTCATTGTTATTGTTACAACTTATAAATTAGGTCAAGTTAATGAGTAAGTTATTGTTTTTAATATAAATATATATGTATTTAATATATATAATATTATACCCTGTACATTATAACGATTTTGCGATTTATTTATTTAGAACGTCTTCACTTGACGTTAATAATGGACATTTTAGTTCTTAAATTAATTGGTTTTAAATTAATTAATTTAATAATTATATAGTATTAAATTAGTTTAAATTTCTTTTAATTTTAAAATCTTTACACTTTTGACCAAAAATGAACTCCTTAAAGTACCTTAGTCAAATTCCTTTTCAGAAAAAGTACCATCATTGTAAACCGGAGCAAAATTGCTAGTAGAAAGTTGTTCAAAGGAAAAAAAAATGGCCGAAATATTTTTCAACTAATACCTACATTTTGTACATTTTCTCATTTTCTCTCCTTTTTGTTTCGGTTTTTTTCATTTGTTGAAAAATCTCCTGGGAAAATTGAAAAATGACCTCCTTAAAGTACCTTCCCAAACCAATTTCCCTTCAGAAAAAGAACTACACTTAAAAATCGGAGCAAGATCTCTGACAAAAATGTTATCCAGATTAAAAAAAAATAAACATCTTTGTAAAACTATAAACTTTTTCGCTCCACTAAGAATATAAAATAATGTTGATAATATTTTAAATATACAAATCGATTTTAAAAATAGTATCTTGTATCAATACGTTTTAAAAAATAAATAATAACCAAATAATTTATATTTCTTTAAATATCTATTTCTAATAATAACTCATTTTAAATAATCTCTCCTGTTAAAATACATTTTTGACCAATTTATATAATTTTTTTCTCTATGTATTTCTTCATTAATTTTTTCATATTCAATCGTGTTTTACTTTTTGACTTTGTGATAAATGTTTAGTTCGAAACAAATCGTACAAAACACATATTTTAATACTCCAGGCGATGCATTTATTTATTTATTTCTATATATAAATTATTTAATTATATACTAAATAGATATTCGGTTGTATTTTTACTGCAGTGTTCAATCACGTGCATTTAATAATGTGCGTTTGTACAAACGAGTTTAAAAATCGTTTATAAGACGTAATAATACCGTTTGATTTTATTTTATTTTTATAAAAATGTTTAATGTTGAATTAACTCGTACTTACCATACTTGGTTCGTTTGATGAAAAAGGTTATTGTATTTGTTTGTTTTTTTTTCAAAGGATTGCGTATTTCAAATTTTAAAATACCACGAACGTGTCCGTTTACGATACCTACAAAATTGATTGTAAGTATACGAGCATAAAGTCATGTGTGAAATTTTGCGACCATCGATTGTTGCGGATTCACTTCCTATATTTACAAGAACAATACGGTCGGGCGATCTGATCTAAAAATAATTGTTATCCGGGACTGTAGTGCAAATATCAGATGAAGAAATATTCGTTTGCATTCGTAAAAGGAAAAAAAGAAGACAATTGAACCGACGTCGACTTTGAAATGAATGCGTTCCTAGGTCACGAGCCGTTCGGTAAATATTTAACGCTACAAATAATGCATTGGCGGTGAACGGGGGTAGGTTGAAACGTTAAAAATACACTTGAAGTTAAATTGTCGTGTCGACGAGAGTAAGGGGTGAGAGGTTAAGAGCGAAATGAAAAATACAAAATTTCAAATACATCAAATACGGCCAGTATAATAGATTTTATATATCCACGAAAATATTTACGTGCCCCAGAAAAAATATCCTAGAAAAAATTTAACTCCGACAAAATTTTAGAAAGATAAAAATATCCTAGATTATATTTGACTCCCGGTAAATATATCCTTGATTAACCTTATCTGCTTTTTATTATTCACTCAATAACCAAGAAAAATATATGTATTTTAAATAGAGGAGATAAAAAACTGAAAACCAAGCAGCATTAAAACAAATATCAAATACTTTTATAAACACAAAATAGATAGCATTGCTAATAATAATAATAATAATATCATTATATTTACGACAGTCGAAAATATTCAAAATAATGGTGACATTGCAATTACGTCTACGGAAGAAAAAAAGTAAGATAATGGGGACGGGTGCAGCTACTGGTGTAGGTGGGAAATTGGGAAGGCAGGATATAGAAGGGAATTTAATGTATATCTGTAAGCAACGATAAACCATTGGTTTGTAAAAGATATTGTTCTAAAAATGTACCTTATATATCCCATATATTCTTATCGACCAAAAGATTCATAGCAGTGACTAATCTAATTTCTACCATAAAACATTTAATAACGTTTAAAATGGGCAAACAGTTTTTTCGTTGTGTTTGGACGGAATAATGTGAAAATCACTTGACAGTTGTATTACCTAAATTACACTCGTGATAATTGACTATTCATAAGAAAATATTTATCCAATATGTATTTTGTCTCACAATATGTAACACTGTTTTCCTAAACATTCATTACATTTTTTTTAGTTTAAAATGGATGAATGATCGTCGAGCACATACATTTTTAGATTGCGATTGCGATTTGGAAAACATTTAGATTTAAACCCAGTTAACATTTTTGATATATGAGCTACTAAGGTCAAAATCTATGCAACTGCAATTATTTGAAAAGACGGGATACTGAGTAATGCAGTAAAAAAAAAATAAAGAATTCTTTATACTTCCCCAATGTATATAGAAACCATTATAAAGTTTTATTAGATGTAAATTAATTTTCCAATTAATATTATTCAAGTATTTAAATATTTCTATTCTGATGGAATATTTTGAACATTTTTAAACATTTTGTGTTCATGTATAGTAGTAACTAATGCAAAAGGTAAAACTTTAAATTATAAATAGGTAATTTGTATTTATGTGTATAGTAACATAATTATTTAAAATTATCATTATTATTAATATAAATATAGTGGAACAATAATAGCCAATCTGATTATTTAAAAATAAATGAAGGGCAACTACCAAATTGCATTTATTTCATTGTCACAAAGCATTTTCAAGAAAACCATACATTTCATAAACCTACTGTGATAATTAAAAAACATAATATTCGTTATATACCTATATTTTTAAAATTTTACTACAATAAACACAAACAAAAATTTGATAGAGAACCTATAGGAGGTATGAAAAAACAAGATTATATTTATCCCACTCAGAGCATGTTAATCGTATACGTAAAGGCACATAGGATATATTTACCTAACTTTGCGCATGATAAACGTACACGTATTACATAATATAGGGTAAATTTAACCTCGTCAAGAAATATTTACCAGTGGGTAAATATCTTTGGAAGGTACGAATAGCCTGTTACAATGTGTTGCCGGAAGTTTTAGCAATTTAGAGAATTATTACAATTCCAAACATGATTTGGAAATCATATCATTGCCGTATACTTGTTATCGTCTCCGTAGTTCATTGACGGGTAATGTTATCGAAACTATTATACTTATCTACAAAGATGTAAATAAAAACAAAATTACTCGATAGGGGTTGTGTTTTATAACCAACAGGTAAAAAAGGAAAACGCTTGTCTATCCGGGAGAAAGCAGCTACAAATAGAATTTAACATGACATTTTGAAAATATCGTGAATGCGGTCATAAAATGATTTTATAACGACTGAAAAGAAAGCCAATATCAATTATCTCAAAATCTTCGTAAATAATCTCTGATCGTGAATAAAATAACCGTGCTGTATACTTCGTATGGTTTTTGAGCGGACGGGAAAGGAGGGGGGTGGGGTAGAGGGTTTACTGTTCTGTCGGCGGTAATGTCGTACGGGGTATGGGCATTGTTTATTATTTGCCGTTATTGCATTGCCGCGAGAAGCCAATAATAATATACATACGACTTCTGGCACGTCTTCGCGGTAGCAGCTGACGCCCCGGAGCGTGTTTTCCCGACACAAGTCCAAAATACGCTCTGCGGTCGAGGAACCGAGTTTCCCCCGATTTTGTCCGATTTAATATCGTATAATACACTCTTTGCGGGTTTCCGTCCGGAACAAGAAATCGTGCCCGTCTACATAACAATAATACTAACATAACGACTACAATATTATACGGAATATACAACTACTACTACTCTATATACAATATAGCGCGATACTGTGAACACTTTTCTTCTGTCTTTTGTCGGCTCCTCGAGCGGGTCTAGTAAAATTCGTGCTTTCCATAATATTACATCCTGTTAGTATGATTTATTCTCTTGCTTGTTCTGTCCGTCGACGGCCTTTCCTTCGAAAACGATTATTTTAGAACCAACGTAAGTATATATAAATTTTTTCTCGAAATTGAGCATCGAAAAAGATTATTTTTTCGTCTAATTTTAGCAGTATTTAAGTAGGTAACAAAATAATATAAAACAGTCTCTTATATACGAAATGTTTGTAATATATTTTCTCAGACGAGTACGGTATACTTCCGCTTTTTGTAAAAGTTCTTTCAAATTTTTTTTCCCTAACTTAGTAACTTTATAATTTTGCCGTAATAAAATTATACACATTCAGGTAGCCAATATGCAATTTAAAATATGAATCGTATTACTTTTGGCCACAACTCGATTAGTAATAAATAATAGGATATAATTTCAGAATTTCAATATTCGCACAGTGTCTTATTTGATAAAATCAGATCTTTTAAACGGCATTCAGTCGTTTGAAAAGAAATTCCAAACTTTATGATTTTTTATTATACATGATAACCCAATTACATTCGAGCATTTGTTATAGTCAAAAAATTTTGAAACAAATTTTATAATCAATGTTTCCACTAACTGTCGGTGAGGTACATTGCAAAAATATTCAATCTACTTTGTCTTTCCTCAATGTATCAAGTCTTTCAGTCTTTGCGACTATGACGAACCCCCACCTTTTTCTTTTTTTAAGCAAAATTTTTTTTCTTGAGTATATTCTTCCCAATATTTTATACCTAACCGATTCGTATCTTATTTTACTTAATAACTCCATCCTTCCTCCGTCTCTTCCCAGTTAGACTCCAACAAATCTTTGTCTTTAGTCTTCCTGCGCTCTCTCTCACTTCGAATTGCATGGTCATTTCAATTATTTTGACTTTTTATACAATTTTTAATCCATCAAGTTCTTTTTTTCTGCAGCTCATTATTTTATTTTATTCTTTCATTATTCATGTATTTCTTTCACTATACAAAAGAAGTTTACACATTTTTCTCAGGATATTTGTTTACTTATATTGCGTATACCTATTTAATGTAATTAATTAATTATCATGGCAAAGTTTGCTTTTATTTAACACAGTTGAAATTAACCGAAAGTTTTTAAAAACGTTTTCTATAATATATTTTGTATAAAAAATATTGAATTATTTCAGTACTAATGGTTTAACTTTGGCTTTGATTAAATTGGTTTTTCTGAACTCTTGTGATTTTTGTGAAATCGTTTTCAAATATCAACTTACAATACGCATTGTTCGATAAAAAAAAAAAAAAACAAGACACTGAAAATATAAGTGAAACAATAATTAAATTATATACCGGGATCGTCTTATTTAATCTATTTTCACAATATTATCGATTTTAAAAGTAAGTTACCTACCGTGCGTACATAGAAAATGTTTTAAATAGTATTTTATTTTAGATATATAGTGAATATTTCTTTTGAAAGTATAAATAAATATTTAGGGAATCTTGTTTGTAACGATTTAATGTTTAGAAGAATTAAATGAGAGAGAAGTTTAGAGATTTCGTATTGTGTTTTTTTTTTATTTAAGTTGATCCTTTTCTACTCATTCTGTCTTATCCGTTAAGTTATTTGTAATTAATATAATTAATAAACCCATTAGTCCGACATTAGATAAATGCGCATCAACATCTTTCAAAAAAAAAAAGAAACGTTATTAATCTCTACTTCGTTTACGTCGACAGAAAGTACACCACAAAATACTTTCGGGAATTGAAAATCAATGCAAATCATATAAATAGAAATCGTTCTGAATAAATACAAAAAAATTCAAAATAAAAATTCTCATGAAAATTAGAAAAATGATTTTCAAACAATAATGTCAGAATAAATATATATAATAATCCGTAAAACAGATCACACTAATTTATTGTGACGTACGAGTATAGTGTGTAATTAAATAAACACTTTTAAAACTCAGGGATTTAATGTGATGATTGAAAAGGACATGAGAAAAAGCAATACCATCTTTGACATTTTTCGAAATTGCTATTTAATTGTTTTCTGGATTTAAGACGTTTATATCACAAATAATATGATGTATTTAGTTGTTTTCTTCGAACAAAATTAATTAAATTATTATCGTTTTAAATAGATTTAAAAAAAATGTAAATACCTAGGCACATTTCACACCACTGAACTTATAGCTTTTATGCCATCATTACATTCATTAAACGGTTCTGAGCCGAGCTACCCAGCTCAAAATTGTTTAAACTGGTTAAGATATTGTTTACGTCGCATTTTTCACCTCTGTAACCAAGGTAACCAAGAAATCAAAAAAAAAAAACAAAAAACAAATAATCGTTATTTATTATTGGTTTTTAGTTTTAAAATAAAATCCTGTCAAAAATATTTATTTTTTAAGATACAATGTGAACAAAAAAAAAAAAAAAACAAAAAAAATTAAGCCAAAAAACTGAAAAACTGAAAAAGGACCTGAACTTTTAAATAAATATTTCAAACTAAGCACAACTGGAAAGAAATTTCACACCATTTAAGAGGTAGGTATCTACTTTGCAAACTACCGAAAAATTGTATTCTCTGAAAAAAAATAACACGTTAATAAAACTAATAGCTTCTCCGCTACACTCAGAATGGAAATAAAGGTAAATAAAACATAAAATGTTACCTTGGCAACGGATCACCATGGCGGACAGGCCAATTGCAGCTATTCACATTATAGACATTCTACAATTGTATAATATGAAATATAAATATATATTTCCATTAAGGAATTAAAATTATACAATAAACTTTTTGCGGACTTTTAAATCGAAAGAAAATTTCTTGCTGTACATACACTTCAGAAATATAGCCTCCGCCTATAGGTAAAGAATATTCTGATAAAAACTTTTTGTATTTTCACTGAAAATTCGCTGAGCACATGGGCATATTATTAAAATGATAATAAATAATAATAATAATAATTATAAGTAGGTAGATACCACTCTAAAGTTTTATAAAATGGATTAAATGGAGAAAAATAAGTAGAAAAATATATAATTCAGATAGACTTAAAAATATGATAATATCGTAATAATAATTCAGATATAAAATGCGAATAATTTCTTTATTTTTTTATATATATATATATATTTTAATTTTTTTTGACAATAAACAATATAAAACGTATAATGCCGCAGGTATTGCACTGATAGCAAGTTTAATCGCGATTGGAGTCTCAAAAAAAAAAAACCCTTCTCTTTTTACAGGACAGACCTAATTTTTCTTTGATTTTTCCCGATTTGGAATTCTCTCCTTCGGAGATTAAAATTTTAATAGCAGTGCACATCCCAGAGTATATAAATACACAACACAAATAAGGTGTGCATATATATTATTTTTAATGAATAACGTAGACTTTTACTCGAAAAGCGGATAAATCAACGGGGAGAATAAGGAAACTTCTAGAAATTCAATTATTTCATTTTTTTTTTCTCTACCTAAATTGTTTTAGTATCAATTCCGTTAATAGAAAAACAAAAAAAAGGTGGTACTGTGCTTCTGAGTGTGCCACTGTTATAGGTGGAAAGTCGGGAACGTGGATGTACGTGGAAATTTTACTTATATCTTCACTCAACAATAACTAATTGGTAATAAAAAATGCCTTAATGAATGTTAAAGCAGACTTAATAACCCAAATTCGTTAAATATCGCCTATAAAAATGAATTGTATAAAAAATTATATTTTGCGTAACATTACAGACATATTAAAAAAGTTTGAATTACTTTTTAAGTCACACTATATCATAACTACAGATACTAAGGAGAAATAGCTGCAGAAATAAGTAATAAAGTAACCAATGTTTTAGAAGGCTGATATTGTTTAGAAATCGATAACAGAAATTATTTTTTTTTTATTTTCTCCTCTTTTGTTAGAAATATTTAATTTTTTTCATCCACGTTCCCGTTAACGAAATTCAAGAAATTAGTTCTTTCAGGTCCACATATATTTGTTGTTATCGTTAAATAGTAATTATACTGTTGTTACCTAGAACTGTATTTTATAAAATAGGTAGGTATTCTATGACTACAGCATACTTTTAGGTTATAAAAATTAAGTATAATTAAATATTAATACAAATGAATTTACTGACCTACTCGATAGAGTTTAATCAAATATAATAATGTAATCCTATATAATGAAATAACAATCGGTAAATTGGCAAGTTAGACAAACAAGTTTGACAAATACTGAAATAACTTAAATATAAAAATATGTATTGACCATTTTGTTAAATAAAATAAATTGTAGTATTCCAAAATGCGGTTGCCAGCATTCATTTAATCGGGAAACTCTCGTGTGTTTCTTACCTATGAGTACGGACTAAAGAGTGCTTGACCGGTGTATCCTCTTTTATCTTCAATCGCATCCGTTTAACCGAAATCAATACACTTCGTTAGCATAACAGACACCATAACGCTATTTGCCACCGGACGATACAACCGACCATTGATATTTTCATCCCGACTGATGTCCATTATGATTTCATTTGGTGATATTGTGAAGACGCAGAATGTTGAATAATTCGGAAATTAGGTAATCCGCAGGAACGGATAAACGTTGCGAGACGCAAATATAAACACAGCGAAAATAATAAAGAAAAAATATAGAAGAATGAACGATCAATAACATGAAACAACATGAGTTTCAAATACTCAAGAGAATATACAAAACAAAAATGAATAAATAATATACAGGAACGCTAATCATCTTAGTTTACTGTAGCAACCGGCTGTTTAGCAATATATTACGAACCAGAGAGAACAATTAGTGATGTAAACACATTAATTTCAGATGTGTTTATGTGGCCTGCACATAGGCGGAAATTTGATGACTTTTCTTTGGAGAGAGAAGGGGAGAATATATATTTATATAAATATATAAATACCGGTTTGTTTTGTATACAAATTTTATTGAGGTATTTTGGATGATTTAAGTGTCCTAAGCCCCCCTAATCCTCCAACATTATTGAAATACGGGACTAATGATTCGAATGCAACACAAGTTGAAAAGTTCAACATTCGCGACGAAACGGAGGGCGGCGACGGCGGGTAGGCCGCCGTGGGGGCAGGTGCAATCGATTTTTAAAGTGTGCGGGACACATATTATAAAATTATAATCCCGTGCGAAAATTAACGTATGATTTATAATATTATTATTACGACCGCGCGCAAATGAATCCTGAACAACGAGAAGTGTAATCGTGCGGTTGACATAATGGGAATCGACTGCTGCGGAAAACCGACTCGGATCTCGAGGAGCTTCTCGGCCCGGGACCCTCGCTCTTGGGGTAAGAGAGAGAGAGAGTGAGAGAGAGAGAGAGTTTACGAACATTGCGGTACGGGCGTCCGTGAAGCTGCAGGTTACATATTATAGCGCCACGTACTCGTATATTATAACATTCGAGAGGAGTGTTATGGTTACGAACAATGGAGGACTAGCTTTTATTGAAACCCCGAGTTTAAAACCTAGCGCGCAATAACAATTCGTTTACGCTGCGCGACATCATTTTGGTATGAGCGCATTTATATTCTGCATCGAGCGGGTTGGTCGACCCACGAGCCAAGCTAAACAACGAAAAAAAAATCCGAAGCATTACTGGGGTGTTTTTTTACTTTGCCGCTGTACGCTCGTCGTATACAGGATACTGCCAGGTAGTCCGCGCTGGTAAAGTGTTAAATTGGGAAGGTAGGATAATTTAATTGATATTCTGTACGCAACGATGATAATTACTTCTAAGGAAAAACTATTCTGAGCAATGTTCGGTTTACAATAGTGTTTCAATAAACTTTAAATTGAAAATATTGTAATTATAACTACAAAATAAATCTACAGTATTATTTGTTGATTTTTTTTCTCATATTTTCTCATATTTGTATA